AGCAGCGTGGGACTAGGAGGGGGGGGGAGGAGGGAGGTCCAGGTGAGGGGGCTAGTCGTCGGCGACAAGGAGCGGCTGGGGTGAGGACGCGGTGAAGAAGAAGAGGAAGAAGTCAACGCGGGGGAAGGGGGCTCGAGGAACAGATCTGACGGCTCGAGCTCGCGGATCGGACGGCTGGGCCTTGACCGGCCCAACGCTTGGGCCGGTGCGCCGGCGCAGATCACTGCCCATGATTTATAGACGGATAATAACCAAACTATCCGTGTGTTTGAAAAATGTGAAAGAAAAATGTCGCGTAGTAATTAAGTAATTGGTCTTTTATATTCTTTTTGACAGCTCAGTAACATTTTCATCTTTCTCCGGAGCAAATATCTTCGCACATCTTTTAACTAGCCATACATAAATTATGTTAAATACATGGTCACAGGTCAAAGCCCAACCGCCTTGCATAGATCATTTTCTAGCCAACATCTTTATTTTTAATGGAGCAGTTGGTAGTCTCGCTTTCAAGGTTTTTTCGTCCCACCTCCCATGGTTTTTTGTACCTTCTCCCACCTTTGCTGGTTTTTTTCGTAGGTTTTTTTCGTCCCCTCCCTCCACTTCATCGGTTTATTTTCGCGTCACCCTCTCACACAACGAAAGAAATCGTAACAGATCAGAACTTTTCATACTAGCGCAAATTATTTACTAATGTAGAATCAATCACGAACAATATTTAAAGATCAGATCTAAATTAATTAACCTTATCTTAAATCACTCAATCACATTAATTAGAAAACAAATAATTGATTTTTCAGAAAAATCGCTCAATCACATTAACCTTACCGTAACTCACGGATGATAATCAATCTCCAAACAAAGGAAACAATACATCGAGGGAGTAGTAAATAAACTCCCTTTCTTGTGACATGTATATGATTTTCCCTTCCCTCTCCGTTGTCGAGCATTCTTGATTCTCGAGGCCGATGCTTGGGCTGCGTCACTGGGTCGCGATGGTGCCGGAGGACGAGGACGGCGAGGCCGGGTGCCGCGGCACCGCGTTGGCCGCGACCGGTGAAGGGGGCGAAGAAGGGCGGCTTCCCTGGCCGTGGTCGTGACCCTGGGAGTTGGTGCGGTGGAAGCGGCACTTGAAGGACCCGGTGTGGGTGGCCGGCGCGCAGACGCACTTGGAAGCGGGCCCGTGGCCCGCGCCGGCGCCGACCAGGGCCACCTCCTCCGCGTATTCTTGAAGCTGTGGCTGGTCGATTTATATGAAATAAATTCCCTCAGTTATGGCAAATATAATACACATAATCCATATTGTTATGCACTAGCGTGTGTGTGAAATAGATGGGTTATGGTCACGTACCCAATCAGTACAATATCTAAGCTCCCACGAATTTAAGCGCTATGAGCTATCCGGGGGTGAGAGGGTCAAAGACTCAAATGACCACGTCTTTTTTTAGGTGAACTATATAGTTTTATTTAGGAGAACCATGGTCTCTTACTCTCTTACTAGGCGAGTAGGTATTGTTTTTTCTGAACACAGTATAATCAAAGTCGCTTACATACACGAGTATACACTCATCCATATAAATGCATGCACGTACACTTTATTCCTATGAGCACCTCTAAGAGATTGAGCTGGCACATCATCTTGAGACTGATGAAGTCGCCACAGACGTCTTCGTAGTCGACAAGAACGTCTCCTCCCACTGAACGTACACCGTCAATAGGCTTGAAATAAATCCAGGAAAATATAAGCACCAATGCAAGTTTGGGGCTTGAACTCTGGTGGATAGGGGACACCAATGTTCCTCCTAACCATCCAACGGTAGGTATTGTTTACTGTTTGGGTCAACCATCCAAATACGTGTGTCCAACACTTGATCAGAGGGGCTAATTTTTTGCGAAAAAAGGGTTGCATGTCTCTCATTTACATCTGGTACAAGGGAAATTAATGATGCGGCCAACTATATCCACACATATTAAAGTGATGTACCATCGCACGGTCACCACCATCTTGGCCCATCACCGCCTCCTCTGAGTCACATGGTTGCATGGGCGCCGTTAGTCCACCACCACGCCGCCTGCCCCACCCATCTCTCCATATTTCTCCCCTTCTCTCATGACGGTACGCCCGAGCCATCATCGTCTCCTCCGCACCACACGGTTGCATATGCATCCAGTCCATCGCCTGCTCCTCCGCATCATATGGTTGCACGGGCACCAGCAGTCCATCACCGCCTCCTCCGTACCACACGGTTGCACGGGCGCCTGGCCCACACCGCCTCCTCCGCACCACAAGGTTGCACCGACTTTGCATGTCCACCACCATGCCGCACACCCCGCCTATCGCTCCATCTTTCTTCCCTTCTTTTGTGCGGTAATTAACGTCCAACGATGACGACGCTCGTGGCCTAGAGGAGCAGGCAACAAGGTAGGCCCCCATGGCTAGAAACAACGTTGAACAGGGACGACTGTCGTCTTTGAAACTTGGTCGCCTTCATTGACGCGCCATGGTCCACAAGGTCTATAGTACAACTCCCGATGCCTCATTCCTCTCCCTCTGTCATCCTTTCTTTGGTAGCCAGATTCATTCAATCTCGCTCGCATCGGGGCTAAACAAGTAGCAGATTGTACCGGGATTTTATCTCACCGTGTAAGGTTTCAATCTAAAAGCCTCATGCTTCACTGCTTGAGTACCATGTCCGTGCTTGTGAATTAACAACCTCATGCTGTTTATACATGGCATGCTTTATGCTGCCTCTGTTCCATAATGCAGTGCATGTTAGTTTTTTCAAAAGTCAAAGATGTTCATGTTTGACCAAGTTTCTATAATAAATTATCAATATCTGAAGTACTAAATAAATAAATTATAAAAGTACACGTTGATGTCGATTTTTTTTAAACCTAGTCTAACATTGATACGGTTGACTTTTCAAAACAAAAATGTACTATATTTTGGAACGGAGGGAGTATTAGTTAGCATATGGTTCCACGCCTAAGGAGCATGGTCCCTAACTGAACTTAATTGACACTAAAATAATAAGACAATATGATAACTAGGTTTTTATGTGAAGATAATTTGCTTAATTATCAACGGGTCGCTTATGTACACAGCTGATCAGGCCTTATTAATGCATCAATAATGTTGCATTCAAATGAAAACTGATATCAATCACTTGTACTATTATCTCTTGATCCTTCCCTTTCCGTCTCTTCTTCTTAGAGGTCGCTATAAACATGCTTAATTCCCTTTTCTGTCGTTAGTCGGTGCAAAGCATTGCTTTTATTTCGAATATGTTCTTTCTATTTTGATTCTAACTACGCGTCAAAATGATCAATATTAAAAACCAGAAGCCATATACCTTGGTGCAGTGCGGCAACTTCCAAGTAACACCTCCACTACCCTTTTACCATTATTGTAGACCATTATTCTTAGTGTTTTGTATTATTTATATGTGACCAAGGTAAGTTATGAAATATTGGTTGGTCAAATCATTGAGTTGTATGATTGTTATAGATGAATACTACAATCAGAAGCCTCAGTTGTGCATATCATAGTTTTGAATTAGTATTGCAGATGAATATTATCATGTCCATCCAGTACTATGGTTTAACCCTGTAGGTCCGGGACATGCCTGACGTCAACCACTA